CCATGTAATAAGTATGATTTTTGCGTAATATGTAATATGTAATAAAATATTACATCCGCCTAAAATATCACATCCCCCTTAGAAAAAACGAAAACGAGATTGCGCTTTCAAGTCATTGCACTTAGAAGTGTATCAAATACGTCCGAAACATTCAATTATAAACAATATAATTAAAACGCAACGAGATTCATAAAAACGTTTTTCTACTAATATACTATAAATGAAGTTAGCATAAAATGGTAATATATTTTAAATTCTTATTTATAAAATTTTAATCGTAATGTATTGTGTGACAATAGTATAGAAAAAGATTACACATGAGGGATATAATACTTTAGGTAATAAAAATAACAATCGTTTGCAATATTTTAGAAGCCTGCATAGGGGGGATGTGATATTTTAAGTAAGAATTCCAGTTTCTTTTTGTCACATATACAGAAATAACAAGTGGTGGATGTTATATTCTATATACCAAATACTAATTGTTTAAAATACTTTATAAATTACTTAGGGGGATGTAATACTTTAGAAGTAGACATACGGGGGATGTTATATTTTAAAGTAAGATTTTCAGTTTCTTTTTCTGACATATACAGTGAATAAACCGAGGGGATGTGATATTCTTGATATCAAATACTAATCGTTTGAAATGTTGTATGAATTACTTAGGGGTTGTAATATTTTAGAGATAAACATAGGGGGGATGTGATATTTTAAATAGCAAATATTAATCGTTTGAAATATTGTATGAATTACTTTGGGGGATGTAATATTTTAAAGGTAAACTTAGAAAGGATGTAATATTTTCAGTAAGAATTTCAGTTTCTTTTTGTGAAATATGCAGCAAATAAACCGAGGGGATGTAATATTTTAGATAATAAACACTAATCGTTTGAAATATTGTATGAATTACTTAAGGGGGTGTAATATTTTAAAGGTAAACATAGACGGGATATGATATTTTAAGTTAGAATTTAAGTTTTTTTTGTGGTACATACAGAACTTACTAGTGATGGATGCGATATTCTAGGTACCAAATACCAATTGTTTGAAATATTGTATGAATTATTTAGGGGGATGTATAATTTTAGAAGTATACATTAGGAGGGGATGTGCTATTTTAAGTAAGAATTTTAGTTTTTTTTTGTGGTACATACAGAATTTACAAGTGATGAATCTTATATTTTAAACACTAAATAAAAACCGTTTGAAATGTTGTATGAATTACTTAGGGGTTGTAATATTTTAGAGATAAACATAGGGGGGATGTGATATTTTAAATAGCAAATATTAATCGTTTGAAATATTGTATGAATTACTTTAGGGGATGTAGTATTTTAAAGATAAACTTAGAGGGGATATAATATTTTCAGTAAGAATTTCAGTTTCTTTTTGTGACATATGCAGCAAATAAACCGAGGGGATGTAATATTTTAGATACTAAATACTAATCGTTTGAAATATTGTATGAATTACTTAAGGGGATGTAATATTTTAAAGGTAAACATAGACGGGATATGATATTTTAAGTTAGAATTTAAGTTTTTTTTGTGGTACATACAGAACTTACTAGTGATGGATGTGATATTCTAGGTACCAAATACCAATCATTTGAAATATTGTATGAATTATTTAGGGGATGTTATATTTTAGAAGTATACATTAGGGGTGTGTGTGTGTGTGTGTGTGTGTGTGTGTGTGTGATATTTTAAGTAAGAATTTCAGTTTCATTCTGTGACATAGAATCTACAAGGGGATATGATATTCTAGGTATCAAATACTAATCAATTGAAATATTGTATGAATTACTTAGGGGAATGTAATATTTGAAAAGCATACATAGGGGAATGTGATATTTTAATTAAAAACTTCAGTTTCTTTTTGTGGTACATACAAAACTTACAAGTGATGGATGTGATATTCTAAGTGCCAAATAGCATTCGTTTGAAATATTGTATAAATTACTAGGGGGGTGTAATATTTTAGAAGTATACATAGGGGGGATGTGATATTTTAAATAAGAACTTCAGTTTCTATTTGAGGTACATACAGAACTTACAAGTGATGGATGCGATATTCTAGGTACCAAATACCAATTGTTTGAAATACTGTATGAATTATTTAGGGGGATGTAATATTTTAGAAGTATACATTAGGGGGATGTGATATTTCAAGTAAGAATTTCAATTTTTTTTGTGACATATACAGAGAATAAACAGGGGGTGTGATATTCTAGGTATTAAATACTAACAAATTGAAATATTGTAAAGATTTACTTTGGGGGATGTAATATTTTAAAAGTATACATAAGGGGTATGTGATATTTTAACTAAGAATTTCAGTTTCTTTTTGTGACATATACAGTGAATAATTCAAGGGGATGTGATATTCTATATATCAATTACTAGTCGTTTGAAATATTGTATGAATTACTTAGGGGGATGTAGTATTTTAAAAGTAAACATAGCTGGAATGTAATATTTTAAATACCAAATATTATTTGTTTTAAATATTGTTATAATAATAGGGAGATGTCATATTTTAAAGGTAAACATAGAAGGAATGTAATTTTTTATGTAGGAATTAAAGTTTCTTTTTGTGGTACATACAGAACTTACAAGTGATTGATGTGATAATCTACGTACTAAATACTAATTGTTTAAAATATTTTGTAACTTACTTACGGGATTTAATGTTTTAAAGATAAACATAGAGGAGATGTGATATTCTAAATAATAACTTCAGTTTTTTTTTGTGACTTATACAGAGTCTCCACAGGGGAAATGTGATATTTTAAACACCAAATACTAATTGTTTAAAATATTGAAAATAAATACTTAGGAGGATGTAATATTTTGGAAGCATGCATAAAGGGGATGTGATATTTTAAGAAAGAATTTTAGTTTCTTTATGTGATACATACAGAACTTACATGTGATGGATGTGATATTCTAGGTACCAAATACTAATTGTTTAAAATATTTTATCTTTTTGTGACATATACAGAGAATAAACCGAGGATAAGTGATATTCTAGATACCAAATACTAATAGTTTGAAATATTGTATGAAATCCTTAGGGGGATGTAATATTTTAAAGATAAACATGGAGGGGATGTGATTTTATAAGAATTTAAGTTTCTTTTTGTGGTACATACAGAACTCATAAATGAAATATTGTAATATTATAAAGTACTTTGGGAGATGTAATATTTTAGAAGTATACGTAGTGAGGATGTGATTTTTTAAGAAAGAGTTTCAGTTTTTTTTATGTTATTTATACAGAAATTACAAGTGATGGTTGTTATAGTCTAGTCACCAAATACTAATTGTTTGAGTTATTTTATGAATTACTTTGGGGGATGTAATATTTTAGACGCCTGAATATGGTGGATGTGTAATTTAAGTAAGAGTTTCAGTTTCTTTTTTATACATATATAGAGAATAAAGAGGGGGAATGTGATATTCTAGGTATCAAATACTAATCGTTGATTAGTTTTTGATACCTAATGAAGTATTGTAAAGAATTACTTATTTTTAAAATATACATAGAGGGGGGGGGATGTGATATTTTATTTAAAAGTTTCAGTTTCTTTATGTGATACATACAGAATTTACAAGTGAGGTTTTCTTATTTTAATTTATAGTTAAACCATATATTTTATCATTATTTTATTTTATGGTTTATTTTCAAGAGAAGGCAGAGACACCAACAAAAAGCTTTGAAGTTAATGAAGGTGAAGGTATAAATTAAAAACTCACTTATTCATTTGTAATTGTTAGCGTTTTATTTTATTTATAATTTATTTTCTAGAGGAGGCAGATAACTATAAAAATCTTTGCAGCTAAAGACAGTGAAGGTATATAATAATAAATCACTTTTACATTTTGTTAGCGTTACCTTTTTATTGTAATGTATTGTTTTTTTAGAAGTGGCAGATACAAAAAATAGTTTTGTAGTAAAAGATGGTAAAAGTAGGATTTAAAAAGTGACTTTTTCATTTATAAATGTTACCATTTTATTTTAAAGTATCGCTTGTTTTTTAGAGAAGGCAGAGAAGCCAATAAAAACCATTGTAGATTAAGATAGTGAAGGTATGTATTAAAACTTACCTATTCATATATAATTGTTAGCGTTTTATTTTAATTTGTTTTTATTTATTTTAATATTCTAGAGATAGTAAATACAAAAAAAAGCTACATAGTTGATGATACAGAAGGTATGTATTATTCAGTGGCGCACAAATGAAATAAAGATTTTTATGTAAACTTATTTAAATATTTAATTTAAACATCCCACCTGGTGAAAAAATATGTGAAGAGCTTTAAAACATGTAATCTTCAATAAATGTAATAGTCGTTATTTTATTAGATAAAAGACTTAAGCTTAAATTTTGATGAAATTATGCTTAAATTGCATTTCATAAATAGATCACGGAATAATAAAATGTATCCATATTAAAAACCCTGTAAAAGTCTTAGGAGGCTGCAAGGTATACGATTATTCGTTACAAGACACTTTAAACGAATGTCTCAGTGACGAATTTGTAAATATTTATCTCAAAATATTAGTAAACAGTAAAATAAAAGTATGATTAATTAATGTACTTCATAATAAAATTTTTGTACAAAAAAACCCTTCTTGCATTTTTTTTTTAAATTTGCCTTTATTTAACTAAAATTTAAATTCTAAATATAAAACAATATATTGAATGCCATTCCATTTATTGATGCTTTGAAGAATCGAATCGAAGTACTGTAGCCAGCTGGGCTACTCTCACTGGATGAATTGCCAATTAAAACTGATTTAATACGAAGACGGCATAAGGTATTCAAAAACTTTTATCTAAAAAAATTAATGATTCATTAATTTAATTATAGAGTATTTATACACACACACACACACACACACACACACACACACACACACATGATGGAAAAACACAAGTATGTATAATTGTATAATTGTATAATTGTTTTTTGAAAAAGTTTATTTCTCTAAGTAAAAAAAGTTTAACTTTTAGTGAAAGGTTAGATTACCTATTTTTTTACAGGGAACCTAACTTTGAACCTGATTTTGAAAATCACTTGTGTTTTAGATAATCGAACCAGGTAATAAAACAATTCACTCTATGGACCCTATGGGAGAACAGACAAATTCCATCAAAAAAGAAGAAGTGAAATGGAAGTATGATACTATTATTATTAGATATTCCTATGTCAAAATTTATATTTACATCTTTTATAGTTTTTTTACTATTATACAATAGTTGTTACTTACAACAAAGATATGGTGTTTCAGAAAAGTTTGAAATATTAACATTACCACATGCCATACGAGCTGAAGGTATAACATTTGGAGTATTCTGCCTTAAGATAACTTTAAGAGTCTTAACTGTAATGGATATATATATATATATTACTTAAAACATCACATCCCCCATATATATATATATATATATATATATATATATATATATATATATATATATATATATATATATATATATATATATATATATATATATATATATATATATATATATATATATATATATATATATATATATATATATATATATATATATATATATATATATAAGCTTACATAATTTAGTTTGCTGAAAGTTATACAAATGGAGAAGTATGGGTGCGTGTCTTTCCACATGAAGAAGTTAATGCATACAGAAAGAGAGATAAAGGAGGTTTGTGAGGTTCTTTAGAGAACTGAAAATGTTTATACTACTTCAATGTTAAATGATATCTATAAAAAAGACAAAAAAAAAAAGATGAAAAATTAAATCAATAGGTCAGAAAAGTTAGCAGAATAGTTTGTGTCGCATTTGTGGAAGTGAAATTGGTCCAAAAACTAGAAAAAATCAAAAAAAAATTAAATGAGTAATAAAATATATTTTAATTAATTTTTAATAAAAATTTCAAATAGAAAAAAATACTTTAAATATTCAAATAGAAAAATGTTCATTAAATATTTATTTTTAGGTAAAATGTGATATATGCATTTAAATCGATGGTACCGTATGAGATGCATTGCTTTTAGAAATGAAACTTTATTTTGTTGTGAACATATTTATGTACAAATTTATTAAATATATATATTAAATAATAAATGAAACTTTGAAAATTGCAGTCATTTCTTTTTCTTCAAAATTTTGTCATAAATTGAACCAATTTAAATGTTTATGCCCTTACAGATAAAAAAGGTGAAATTTATTTTCCTTAGTTCTAGTGACTTCTTGTATTACTATAATACTTTAACTCGTCTGAAGCCATACATATGAATTAATTGAACAATAATACATTTTTAATTTATTAGCTCAATTAAATCTAAAAATAAAACAAAAAAAGACTGTTTGGGTAATCTCTGCACATTTTGCAAATAACAGCTAAAATTCTAAATTAAAATACCAAATCTGCCTATGCAGGCTTCTTAATTATTCCCCAATATTACATCCCTATGTATATCTTTAAAATATTACGTTCCCTAAGTAATTCATAAAATTTTTCAAATGAGTAGTAATTGCTATCTTGAATATCACATCTATCACTTGTAAATTATGTTTGTACTATAAAAAGAAACTGAAATTCTTACTTAAAATATCACAACCCCCCCCCCCTAAATATACTTCTAAAATAATAGATCCCCCTAAGTATTTTTCTACAATATTTCAAGCAATTTATATTTAATACTTAAAATATCACATCTCCCCTGTGGAGTCTCTGCATATGTCACTAAAAGAAACTAGAATTCTTACTTAAAACATCGCATCCCCTCTATGTTTACCTTTAAAATATTAAATTCCCCTAACTAAGTTACAAAATATTTTAAACAACTAGTATTTGGTACCTACAATATTACATTCAACACTTGTAAGTTCTGTATTTACTGCAAAAAGAAACTTAAATTCTTACTGAAAATATTACATCCCCTTTAAGTTAACCTATAAAATATTACATCCCCCTAAGTAATTCATACAATATTTCAAACAATTAATATTTGCTGTTTAAAATATCGCATCCCCTCTATGTTTACCTTTAAAATATTCTATCCCCCTATATAATTCATACAATATTTCAAACGATTAGTAATTGGTATCTAGAATATCACATCTCTTCGGTTTATTCACTGTATATGTCACAGAAAGAAACTGAAATTCTTACTTAAAATATCACCCCCCCCCCTAATGTATACTTCTAAAATATAACATCCCGCTAAATAATTCATACCATATTTCAAATGATTGGTATTTGGTACCTAGAATATCACATCCATCACTAGTAAGTTCTGTATGTACCACAAAAAAAACTTAAATTCTCACTTAAAATATCATATCCCATCTATGTTTACCTTTAAAATATTACATCCCCTTAAGTAATTCATACAATATTTCAAACGATTAGTATTTAGTATCTAAAATATTACATCCCCTCGGTTTATTTGCTGCATAGTTCACAAAAAGAAACTGAAATTCTTACTGAAAATATTACATCCCCTCTAAGTTTATCTTTAAAATATTAAATCCCCCAAAGTAATTCATACAATATTTCAAACGATTAATATTTGCTATTTAAAATATCACATCCCCCCTATGTTTATCTCTAAAATATTACAACCCCTAAGTAATTCATACAACATTTCAAACGGTTTTTATTTAGTGTTTAAAATATAAGATTCATCACTTGTAAATTCTGTATGTACCACAAAAAAAAACTAAAATTCTTACTTAAAATAGCACATCCCCTCTTAATGTATACTTCTAAAATTATACATCCCCCTAAATAATTCATGCAATATTTCAAATGATTGGTATTTGGTACCTAGAATATCACATCCATCACTAGTAAGTTCTGTATGTACCACAAAAAAAACTTAAATTCTAACTTAAAATATCATATCCCGTCTATGTTTACCTTTAAAATATTACATCCCCTTAAGTAATTCATACAATATTTCAAACGATTAGTGTTTAGTATCTAAAATATTACATCCCCTCGGTTTATTTGCTGCATATGTCACAAAAAGAAACTGAAATTCTTACTGAAAATATTACATCCCCTCTAAGTTTACCTTTAAAATATTACATCCCCCAAAGTAATTCATACAATATTTCAAACGATTAATATTTGCTATTTAAAATATCACATCCCCCCTATGTTTATCTCTAAAATATTACAACCCCTAAGTAATTCATACAACATTTCAAACGGTTTTTATTTAGTGTTTAAAATATAAGATTCATCACTTGTAAATTCTGTATGTACCACAAAAAAAAACTAAAATTCTTACTTAAAATAGCACATCCCCTCTTAATGTATACTTCTAAAATTATACATCCCCCTAAATAATTCATGCAATATTTCAAATGATTGGTATTTGGTACCTAGAATATCACATCCATCACTAGTAAGTTCTGTATGTACCACAAAAAAAACTTAAATTCTAACTTAAAATATCATATCCCGTCTATGTTTACCTTTAAAATATTACATCCCCTTAAGTAATTCATACAATATTTCAAACGATTAGTGTTTAGTATCTAAAATATTACATCCCCTCGGTTTATTTGCTGCATATGTCACAAAAAGAAACTGAAATTCTTACTGAAAATATTACATCCCCTCTAAGTTTACCTTTAAAATATTACATCCCCCAAAGTAATTCATACAATATTTCAAACGATTAATATTTGCTATTTAAAATATCACATCCCCCCTATGTTTATCTCTAAAATATTACAACCCCTAAGTAATTCATACAACATTTCAAACGGTTTTTATTTAGTGTTTAAAATATAAGATGCATCACTTGTAAATTCTGTATGTACCACAAAAAAAAACTAAAATTCTTTTTTAAAATAGCACATCCCCCTTAATGTATACTTCTAATTTAATACATCCCCCTAAATAATTCATACAATATTTCAAACAATTGGTATTTGGTACCTAGAATATCGCATCCATCACTTGTAAGTTCTGTATGTACCACAAAAAGAAACTTAAATTCTTTCTTAAAATATCATATCCCATCTATGTTTACCTTTAAAATATTACATCCCCTTAAGTAATTCATACAATATTTCAAACCATTAGTATTTAGTATCTAAAATATTACATCCCCTCGGTTTATTTGCTGCATATGTCACAAAAAGAAACTGAAATTCTTACTGAAAATATTACATCCCCTCTATGTTTACCTTTAAAATATTACATCCCCCTAAGTAATTCATACAATATTTCAAACGATTAATATTTGCTATTTAAAATATCACATCCCCCCTATGTTTATCTCTAAAATATTACAACCCCTAAGTAATTCATACAACATTTCAAACGGTTTTTATTTAGTGTTTAAAATATAAGATTCATCACTTGTAAATTCTGTATGTACCACAAAAAAAAACTAAAATTCTTACTTAAAATAGCACATCCCCCTTAATGTATACTTCTAATTTAATACATCCCCCTAAATAATTCATACAATATTTCAAACAATTGGTATTTGGTACCTAGAATATCGCATCCATCACTTGTAAGTTCTGTATGTACCACAAAAAGAAACTTAAATTCTTTCTTAAAATATCATATCCCATCTATGTTTACCTTTAAAATATTACATCCCCTCAAGTAATTCATACAATATTTCAAACCATTAGTATTTAGTATCTAAAATATTACATCCCCTTGGTTTATTCGCTTTAAATGTCACAAAAAGAAACTGAAATTCTTACTGAAAATATTACATCCCCTCTATGTTTACCTTTAAAATATTACATCCCCCTAAGTAATTCATACAATATTTCAAACAATTAGTAATTGATATCTAGAATATCACATATCCTTGGTTTATTCACTGTATATGTCACAAAAAGAAACTTTAATTCTTACTTAAAATATCACATCCCCCCTATGTTTATCTTTAAAATATTACATCCCCCTAAGTAATTTATAAAGTATTTTAAACAATTAGTATTTGGTATATAGAATATAACATCCACCACTTGTTATTTCTGTATATGTGACAAAAAGAAACTGGAATTCTTACTTAAAATATCACATCCCCCCTATGCAGGCTTCTAAAATATTGCAAACGATTGTTATTTTTATTACCTAAAGTATTATATCCCTCATGTGTAATCTTCTTCTATACTATTGTCACACAATACATTACGATTAAAATTTTATAAATAAGAATTTAAAATATATTACCATTTTATGCTAACTTCATTTATAGTATATTAGTAGAAAAACGTTTTTATGAATCTCGTTGCATTTTAATTATATTGTTTATAATTAAATGTTTCGGACGAATTTGATACACTTTTAAGTGCAATGACTTGAAAGCGCAATCTCGTTTTCGTTTTTTCTATGGGGGATGTGATATTTTAGGCGGATGTAATATTTTATTACAAATAACATGTAATAGAAATGAATAAGTTATAGCACATATGTAATAACAATGTATTAAAAATGTAATAAATAAGAATATACAAAATAAAAAAAGAAACTACTTTAGAATATTAAATATAAACGCACATTGCAATTCAGTAATCGGTTCACATAAATACTTCCATTATATTATCTAAGCATTTGATCCATACATAATTCAAGTATAGTTGAGTATTGTAATTGAATATTGAGTTATAAAAAAAGTGAATATAAGCTGTAATTAAACAAGATTTTGTTCCATTTATAATGAAATAAAATTCAAGAAAAAAAATTATACTTTTAATGGATACAATATACATAAGTAATAAGTACTTTTCTTTAATAGTTTAACTTCACTGGCAATTTTAAGGGTGACTGATACAAACGAAATAAATTATATCACAGCTTACTTTCTTGTTGTATGTAGCAACAGTAAAATTATGTCTATGTCAAACAGAATGGTAATTTATGCTGCAAAAATCATTTATAAACAGTTCAATTTTGCTGCAACTATCACAAGCAATTTTCCAACAACAAAATCAGCTATTTATTTCCTTGTTATAAACTCACGTGCACTTGCGAACGGAAAAAAATAACATTCAAAA